TATGGTTATAAATAGGTGAAGTCTCTGCAAGGTTATTTATGAAAAAAGATGTAAAAGTTGTAAAATTTTATGGGATAGATACCCCATAGGACTATTGAAGATTTACGTTTTATAGGTGTGTATGTTTGAATGTTTATGAGTGGACTAAAAAAAATTGAGAGGGTCCATATAGGTATGATGAATAGGTAGATATGGGCATGTGGTTGTTTGTGTTGAAAGGGTGCTCATGGGTATGTGTTTGTTTGAGTTGAGAATACTCCATAAGACTAAAGGAGATTGAAAGTGTCTTATGAATATTGATTGTTGAGTGAGGTTGATTATTTGATTTGTATGTTTATAATACTCTACAACTAGTGAATTTTATTTCTCATCCATAGACGTAGGTCAGTTATTGGATCGAACCACGTTAAATTGTTATCTTTTGTGTGATTGATTGATCATTTGATTTCGTTCCACTAGTGTGATTGGATTGAGTCTTTTGAGTCTAACAAATGGTATCAGAGCTTGGTTTTGATATACGCAACAAAGTCTAATAACAAGTGGTATCAAAGTATGGGAAGAGGTATGAGAAGAGGCAAACCCAAAGAGTCGATTCAAGGAAGAGTTTGAATTTGTGTTTTGAAGATTGAAGATCGATTTGCATGAAGCTTGAAGACACACAAGAAAAGATGATTGTGAGACTTCCATTACAGGTGGAGCTAAGTATGTTTAGCAACAGATGATTTGATGAAATTTGAGTTAAGTGGAGATTGTTGGGAATAATGACTCAAATCCCATAAGAGATTTGATTGAGATTTATTAGATATTACTTGATGGGCAAGTTTGACATGTAGAAGAAGAATTCTAAGAGGAAAAAGATTCTTAATAGGTAAGTTTGTATGGTTATAAATAGGCGAAGTCTCTACAAGGTTATTTATGAGAAAAAAATGTAAAAGAGTTGTAGGATTTTATGGGATGACACCCTATAGAACTATTGGAATTTATGTCTTATGAATGTGTATGTTTGAATGTTTGTAAATGGACTAGAAGAGATTGAGGGTCCATATAGGTATGATGAATGGGTAGATATAGTATGTATTTGTTTGGATTGAGAATACTTCATAGGACTAGAGGAAAATGAGAGTGTCTTATAAGTATTGATTGTTGAGTGAGATTGATGATTTGATTTGTATATTTGTAATTCTCTACAACTAATAGATCTTGTTTCTCATCCGTGAACATAGATTAGTTGGATCAAACAATGTTAAATTGTTGTCTTTTATGTGATTGATTGATCATTTGATTTCGCTTTCGTTGGTGTGATTGGATTAAGGCTTTTTAGTCTAACATAACCATATTCCCGAACCTAAATTTTGGTTTCGTAATTAGAATCTACTATGTAAAGATACCTAAGTCAATCTTAGGATTTCTCTTTAAATGGGATAAATTCGATCAAATGGCCAATCACACCTTAACAAAAAAGATTGGTAGTGACTCCTTTAATTCATGTCTAGCGATAGATCCATGGATCTATATGTTATGATAACTTTATTTAAATTATGTTATCATCAAACTATATCATGCATCATTTTAATGTTTGATAGACTACATGAAGATAGTCACCTCATTTGTATTTTTAAATGCATGTGTGAGAATACAATACATTCAAATTATTCATAACTAACACCAGAACAATCTTCTTTTGAAAGCTTTCCTCAGTTCGACTAATTTCTTGCAATACCCATTAAATCCATCCTTAAAAATCTTTGTTTGCTTTTCTCTCTCTTAATCACACATTTTACAACAAAAATGAAAAGCTTCTCATTAGTTAGGTTAAAAATTGGGTCTTTTTCATTAAGACATTTTTTCTTATCGTTTAAGAAAACACTATGTTATCAAACATGTGAAATTAAATTACCGCATCGTCTTACATATGTGCATTAATATACATGTGGACTGTTAAATTAGCGCCTTAGCACCCGCTTGGCAACCCACCTCTAAGTAGATGGAACCATTAACCAGCATGTGACCGATTTCCATTAACTATAAGATAAATTGACACGAAATAAAAAGATAAGGATCAAATTGACAAATAAAAAAATGGGAGGCCAAAATAATCCATTTTGCTAGGCCAAACTTGTTATTATGCCTAAGTTAACCCTAAAATGTTGTTAGATCCAAATTTGTTATTGTGCCTAAGTTAAACTCAAAAGTGTTTGATATATAAAATTATGGTAAGATAAGATAAAATAAGATAATATTATGAATATGATTAGATTAAATAATGTTGTGTGCGAGAATTATAATAAGATAATTTATTTATTAATTAAAATTATATTTTCTCAAAGTTTATATAATTTAAATTATTGATGTAATTTTTAAGGGTATAATGGAATATGTAAGTTCAATTTTATGAATTAAAAATAATCCCCTTCACTTTGGAAGAATTAAATCATGTTATACTAAAAGGATGATTAATCCTTATTATAATCCTCTCTCTTTTTTTAGATACAAATCAAATATAATATAAAATTATTATCATAATATCTTATTTACTATACATCAAATATGACCAAAATGTTATGAGATAAGTGGTGCATGTCTCCAACTCTATTAAATAATACGAAGAGGCAAACAACATAAATGCTATTATATATATTTAAATACCCATGCATGTACCTTTAAGAAAAAATAAATTTGTCAATGAGATCTTGACTTAAAAGTAAGAAGAAGGCCTAAAATTTTGAGATTTTAGGTTTAAGTCCCATTGTGTGGATTTGATTATCTATTTATTTCTAGATTGTCAGTTAATTATTCAATAATTGTAACTTGATTATGATATAATAATTAATTATTTAGTTGATTATATAAATTATATGCATATAATACTTGACTATAATTATAACTTCTAGCAAAAACTTGTTCATCTAAACTATGAAATAAGTGCAAAAATGTTATTTCAAATTCAATTCGTAATAAGTTTATAAAAACTAGTACCATGCTGGCACTTTGCTCGAGTCTAAATTTTTTACTTATAATTAATAATATTGAATATAATAAATAAGTAAATACAACTTTATTTATTTTTTTAATAAAAATAACGATTAGTAAAAATTTATCAATTAATTTATAGATAATGTATGCATTTCATTTTTATAACTTATTTAACAAATCAAATAAAAATTCATTCTTTTAGATTTATCTCTTCAAATTAAAAAAAATAATTAAAATAGATAATTAAAAAATTAAAAATATTAATATTAAAAAGAAATAAAGGAAAGACCCAAGCAAAAAGGAAATAAAAAGTAAAGAGAGTCAGATGAAAATGTCACATAGATACTTCTACTTTGAGATGATAAAAGTTCGGTAGAAACAAATTTATACTCGTCAAGGCTCTGATCTAATATCAGGTTATTATTTTTTATATTCGACACTGAACTGGCATATATTTTTATAACCCACATCTATCTTAATTTGATCAAAAATCAATTCAATAGTATAACATTTATAAAAATATTATTTTTAATATAAATTACATATTAATTATTTATAAATATAGTATTTTATTAAATAAATGTATTAAATAATTTTGTATAATACATATATAAAAATTAAATTATATAAATAATAAAATATATATTCTTATATATATTGGAGACATAATGGAACATTCTAAATATGCTTTTTGAGCTCGATTTAAAAAAAAAAAATTGGATCAAATATCATATTTTTAAAAAATGTAACAAATCAAAACCCATTAAATATATGTTATTTTATCTTCTTTACCTTCATTGACTTTTTTCTTACAAAATTTATTTAATTAATAAAAAATTAAAAGCTAAAAAAATGACAAAAAAAGAAAAGAAAAAAAATAATTGAGGATGTCATGTGAATTTATTAAATTAAAGTATTAAATAATAAATTAATTAATATAATATATATAATTATAAAATCAAATAAATAATAAAAATATTTTTATATATACTTAAGATGTGATGAAATACTTCCGACCCAATTTCACCCTAAAATTTTTAAAAGATACATCAATATTGGATTGAAATGAATCAAAACCCATAAAAAACATATCATTTTGTCATCCCTAACTCTATTGAGTTTTTCTTTTAAAATTTATCTAAAAAAAAGTTAAACAAATCAAATAAAAGAAAAAATTGAAAAAAAAAAAAAGGAAGAAGATTGTGTGCCACGTTGACACCTCCAAAAAAAAAATACAATATTTATGGTATGGTATGGATGCCTTCATCTCCAAAAGTTTAGAATTAGTGCTTCAAACTTGAAAGCTTTGGATTGAATCTGGCAATAGAAAGAATGAGATTAATAAGACCGAAAGATGGACTAACTCGTACAACAACCAAGATACCATAGCTCTCTCGAAGTGGGCTAAAATATTGAGTAGCAGTATTCATATATATATATATATATATATATAAGAAGAAATTTATTTAATACACCATGGTGAAGTTTAAAAACTCTTCCAGCAAAAAAAAAAAAATTTGACACATTTTCTTTAACATATATTTTAATAAATAATAAAAAAACTAAGGCGATAAAAAATGATATTCAGTAATCTTTAAACTCTATGCTCACTCCGTCAACCAGCTTGAATGAAATAATAATCGATGTACATTGATATAGAACGAGGCCAACATCCGTGTGATTGGATATTGTTAAACCTTTAATTCCAATGACCAGATTCAAATCTTGGTATCCTGAAATAAAAAAAGAAAAATATAGAAAGAGAATACCTTCATTTCCCTATAGAAAAGGACAAATCATCTTGAGGGCCAAGTTGTCTTTATGTGCATGCATAATACAACAATAAAAACAGAGTGCTGAACAGAACAGCAGTGGTAAATGAAGTGAGTGAAACAAGCAGCTCAACTGATGTAAATGTAAAGACTCAAAAGACTTCTATTAAATGTGATAACCAACTAGGACTAAAACATCTTAGTACATATGGGATGAATCCCTTAACCAGAAAAAATTTAAGTCCAAAATCAGGCTTACACTGGATACATTTTGCGATGCATCCTCATCTGCACAATCCTGAAGGTTTCAAGGACAGCAATCATTTAACACTAAATGGACAAAAAAAAAAGGCAATGAGGTAGGGTAGGGGTAGAGTACCTGCAAAACGAAGAAAAGGAAGAAATCCCCAAACACGAATAGAAATAAACATGAGAAGGTGCTGTGAACTGCTTCATCAGCAGGGCATGTCAAATTGGCTTATAGTGTCGACTTGCCTGCTCCTTTTTTTCACGATCAAGATGTGGCACTAGATTTCTTCAGGTTAGGCTAGCTAGCTTCCAAATTACGCACGCATTTGTTTCCTCAAGACATTTCAGCTCAAGTGAGAACCGCAGATAAAAGTGTTTACGGTTGGGTCCTCCTACTTTAAGACTTCTGAAATGTGCGAGAAGAAACCCAGTGCAGAAGTCTAACAAATCCCAACAAACTAAGCTTCCCATCTGAGTGTCTTATCCAGTCTTGAAGAACTATGTGAACAGGTACTGATGGACTAAGTCCAAGTTCCTGAAGTAAGAAAATAAATAAATAAATACACCATTTAGCAACATGAGAGGCAGCTGAGGGTTTTAAATAGCGGTGGCCTAGCAGTATAGCAGTTGCTATTTTGTAGTTGCACCACCTACCACCACGGATATTGAAGAAAAAATGAGAGAGAATTTCCATCTCAACCTTAGCGGCTGCAATCAGCCATTGCAAAACGGAATAACGGAGAATAACGAAAATATAGGCCCGTTATCCCTGTTATTCTCACTACTCTGTTTTTCATCCAAAAATGCAGGAAAAATTTTTTTTTTTTGTCTTAAATTGACCCAGAGAAACCTAAAAACCAAAAAAAAAAAAATTATTCACACAACCAAATTTAGAATTTCAACCTCAATCAACATCAATCAGCATAATACAATTTATTAAGTTGAATTTTTTTTTTGGATAAACTGAATTTTAATTCATCCAAAAACAACAGGAATCTGCTACAATATAACTGTTCTACAACTCAACAAACAAAAGAAAAACAATTCATTATCAAATTATTCTAGAAATTCTACATTCAGATTCCAATCTTCACTAAGTTTTTTGTTTACCATATCTCCTGCAATATGTTTCAATCCATGTAGCCTATATCTTACAATTCCTTGACTTTGTCCACTGTTTGTGCAATCGTCATCTCCCTTTGCTTGAATATCCTTTGATTCCTTTCCCCTCCATATGAAATATATACATGCATTCCAGGCAATTCTCAATAGAATGAGATCAAAAGCTTTGCCCTTTTTATCTTTTTCTACCCTAGCTCAGTTCTGTGTCCCAACTTCTACTCTTTTTATCAATGTTGCATAGTTTTGAAGGATTTTATTGCCAAAACTTCTTTTGAATAGACCCACTCAAAGTAAACACGGTCTCTTGTTATCATCTTTTGTGGCATAAAGTTGCAACATCTACTTATCAATTCCCATTCCCATGATTCGCAACCTATCTTTCATTGGAAGCCTACTTAAAAATCGCCATCTATGTATTAGTGAAATGTTTTGGGTGTGATACTTGACCATATTAGTTTCTGTCATCCCACTTTCCGTTGTTGTGGTCTGATTTTTTCTCATACCATGGCAGTATCATAACGTCCTTTTGGAAATGGCCATACCTCCACTCCGTTTTCCTTTTTAATGAAATTTTGTGCGATCTGCCTTATTTGAAGCAATTTCCTCCAATTCCAACTGCTAGTTTGCTTGGCAGCTACTTTCCATATGGCCTTTCCCTTCAATTCATAAACTTCAATCCAAGCGATCCATAAAGAACTAGCTTTTGCAATTATTGACCAGATGTTCTGCAAGACACAAGCCAGATTCCAGGTCAAGATATCTTTTACTCCAAGCCCTCCCTCAGACTTAGGATAGCATATTGCCTTCCAACTTACTCTAGCTCCTTTTATTGATCCTTCTTTTCTTTTCTAAAAGAAACCAGAACATAACTTGTTTATCCTCTTCAGCACATGTTTTGGGAGGATGAAATGCCTACGCCAATAGCTCTACATGCTAAAAAGCACTGACTATACTAGTTGTAACCTGCCAGCATATGATAGGTGTCTTGTAGCCCAGCTATTAATCCTTGCTGTTATCTTGTCAACTAAGGGTGAACAGTCTTTCTCTGTGAGCCTTCTAAACACCAATGGGACCCCAAGGTACCTAACTGGTAACGTACCAATCTTAAACCCAGAAGCTTGCTGGATTCTGGCAAGTTCTTCCCTGCTAACCCCTGCCTGATAGAGCTCACTTTTCTCACAGTTCAACTGTAGGCCAGACAGTATAAAATGCCTTTAACACCATCTTTATCCCTATCACTGAGTCCAATGTTCCCTTTGCGAAAATCAACAAGTCATCAGCAAAGCAAAGGTGAGTTAATTTAATTCCTTTGCATTTAGGATGATAATCAAAGACACCATCTACAGCAGTAGCATCCAATAGTCTGGACAAAACATTAATAGCTAGATCAAACAAGTAAGGGGAAAGTGGATCTCCCTGCCGCACTCCCCTTGCTCCTTTAAAATAGCCTACAAGTCCACCATTAATCGATAAGGAGAAGAAAGAAGTAGTAATGCAACTTTTTATCCATCCTATAAACTGATTCAGTAACTTCATGGCATACAAGACTGAGAGTATGAAGCTCCAGTCCACTGAATCAAAAGCCTTCTGAAGATCAATCTTGATTGCACATCTTGGAGATAAAGTGGATCTGCCATATCCTCAAACCATTTCTTGAGCTAGCAATACATTATCTGTGATGCTTCTACCTTTTATAAATGCACTTTGATTATGACTTATCATCCCAGGCAGAGTTTCCTTTAACCGGTTAGCCAGAATCCTAATGATACATTATAGATTGTGGTGCAGCAAGAAATTGGTCTGTAATCCCTTATACTATTAGGATTGGTGCATTTAGGAACTAATGCTACTGTTATAGAGTTGAAAGCAGGTAGCATATTCCCAGATTGAAAAAAATGCTCTATAGCCTTAGTAACATCATCTCCAACAATGCTCCAAGTTTGTTTGAAGAAATGAGCATTAAAACCATCAGGTCCTGGGGATTTCTCACCATTCAATGAGAACATTGTCTTCTGAATTTCCTCTTTAGTTACTGGTTGGATGAGAAAATCTTGAGCCTTTGCAGATAAGGTCCCTTGGAAGAGCTCTGCCAAAAACTCATGCGTGCATCCTGTAACATTTTGATCCACAGTTCCAATTAACTTCTGAAAGAAGGAGGTTGCTTCCTGCAAAATTTGGTCAAACATATCCAATCTCTTCCCTTCTGAATCCATTAAGACTTGTATGGTATTCTTTTTATGCTTTGCTGCTGCCAAATTGTGGGAAAATTTTATGTTTTGATCACCTTCTTGTAACCATCTTATTCTTAATTTCAGCCTATAATAACTCTCTTCAGCCTTCATCAGGTCCTTGAGTTCTTCATATAGCCTTCTCTCAATCACAACCAGTTCTTTTGATGGGTTTTGAGCTAGAATGGCTTCTTGCATTAGTTCCAGCTCTTTCTTCTTTGTCTGCACCCTACTAGATAGATTTTCATAGTTTTGAATATTGAACTTCCTGAGCTCTAGTTTCAACTTCTTTAATTTCTTATGCAATATTTGCATTGGGCCACCTTTAATAGGGTCTTCCCAAGATCTTTCCACAATTAACTTGAACTCTGGATTCCCTATCCAATAGTTAAAAAACTTAAAAGGCTTTGGAGGGGATTGAATTGTCATGCTGAGTTTGACAAGTGTAGCACAGTGATCAGATACTTGTGGAGCTAAGAACTCAACATGTGACTGTGGGAGAGCTAAAAGCCAAGAGTCATTTATCAATACTCTATCCAACTTTCTTGCTAAGTAACTTCCTAACTGATGGTTAGACCAAGTAAATTGAGGTCCAACATAAGCATGATCAAACAAGCTTAGTTGAGTTAAGCAATTCTGAAAATCCTTCATCTTTGAGTTTGCTGATTGATCTCCATTATAATTCGAGCTTTCAGAGGGATGGACTGTAATGTTAAAATCTCCAGCCAAAATCCAAGGGTCGTCTTGCAATATACCACTGATGTGAGTTAAGTTCAACCACAGGTTCCTTCTTTGAACACCATCGTTACTCCCATAAATGGCAGAAAAATAAACTTACCTGATTTCATATTATAACACACAAGTAATACTTTGCTCAGAAAACTCTAGTAAGTCTCCTTGCACATGATCTCTCTATAATAACCATATCCTTCTGTTTGGAGATGCTGCATAATTGTAAAGAATACACCAGCCACGAAAATGCTTTTCCAGCACAGGCTGCATTTTATGATGCTTTATTCTAGTTTCTAATAAACACATAATATCTGCCTTTATTCTATTTATTCTATCTACTACATTTTTTTTTCAAGGATCATTAAATCCTCTAGTATTCCATACTATCAGCTTCATGTTGAAGAACAACTAGGCTTACCTTCAGAGGCAGTGGTTCCCGCCTTAACCTTCTTCCCCTTATCAATTAGACCTTTCTTCTTGCTTTTAAGGGCCTTCATTAAATCAGCGACACCTGCAGCTGCTGCTTTTTGTTTCTTTGGTGAGTATGGAATTATCTCTTCAGCCTCATTTTTTGAACTTTGATGTACATTACCTTCATCCATTACCAATTATGATTCCTGCACAGCTTCTAGGATCGAGAATCTATTAACATAACCTACTCTAGCAGTTGAAAGTGCAATCAAAATCATAGTCTCCCTTATGGCACTATCTGGTTGTATCTCAACCACTTCAGTCAACTTTGCCTCCTGCATAGTCGTATTACCCTTATCTTTAGGTACCCAGACCATTGCTTCTGTCTTTACTTTCTTTGCACAAGTTTTATCATTGTGCCCAAATATACAACAGTGCTTGCATTTCTGTGGCATCCATGGGATTTCAACTGAAACAGACATAATTGATCCATGCCTCTCGTCCACTTCAATGAACTTTGGCATTTCCGTACTTGCCTTCATCTCAATACAAATCTTTGCATATGCTAGTCTCTACTTATTTGCAGTGATCGAATCCATATATAATGGATTACCTAGGGCACTCGCTATATAGCTAAGTCCCTTTTTCGTATAGAGCTTAAGTGGTATGTTACCCAATTGCACCCATACTGGCAGCATTTCCATGTTAAAGTCTAATGATCGCATTCCTGGCTCCTATTTTCGAACAATCAATGGTTTGTTCTAGATATGCCATGGCTCATGTTCTATCACCCAATCTCTAACTTCCTCGTTTGGGAATTGAATGACAAATAGATTCGTTCCCGCAGGCTTGATCTCAATTAAACCACTTTTCCCCCATAAAACATTAACCATCTTTTGAAACAAACTGAAATTTGGCATCCTTCTAATAAATTGAGCTATCAGCGAGCTTTGCCATTGATGAATACCTTCTTCAAAGACATCATCATGATGTTTTATAGTTATTTTGGCATCTGTTTGTTGAGGGGGAAGTACTCCAACGCTTGATCCACTGGGGCTACAAATAGATTCCTCCAATCCATTTGCGATCTCCTTTCACTACCTTGCAGGTCGATAATCTTCTCTGCATTCAGCCCAACAACCACACAGTCTTCATTGTTAATCTTAGTATTACATTGATCCTTACCAGAATTCTCAAAGAAAGAGGATTGTGAAGTAAGAGATGGTTTCTTGGACATTGCCGATCACTACTCTCACAAAACCCCAAATTAAGTTCAATGAAAAACCAAATCACCAAATTTATTCCTGAACCAAAGAAATCACTACTGGAATGGAAGAAATTAGATGAAACTAGCTTGTAATGTTGAAATTTTGCACCAGAATCGATGGTTTAGGCGAGGAAATCCTCCACTCAAGAAAGTCCTGCTATCGTGAGCTGAGAGTTTTTCCTAATCGTGCACCTAAAGTGTCTCTTGAATTTTGAAGGTGCATAAAATTGCTTTTTTTTTGTTGATTTTGTTTCTCTTGAACATTCTATTCTTAAGTATTTGTCTGGCCATCCCTATTCCATGGTTTTGCAACTAGGAGCAGAGGGTGGCGAGCTACTTGTCTTGTTGGTTGCTGGTCCCAAGCTTAGAGGTTAAACTGTCGATTATGAGAGGACGAGATGAGAGGAAGACGACGAGCTTCATGCTTGTGTCAGAGGTTTATGCTTTTGAGTCTGAGACATAATGAGAGAGACCATGTAAAGAAAAGAGAAATAGAGAGTTAAAAAGAAAAAAGAGAGGAAGATTGGACTGAGGGCTTGATAGGCAAGGGGAAGATGGGAGAAAAGTAAAAGTGCAACGTGTGTGGAGAGTGTGTGTGGATTATGGGTGATTGGGTGGGTTGGGAATTGGGTGAAGGCCTTGTTGGGCTCAGAGAAGGGATTGGGATTTTATTGTTTTAATGGGAAATTTTGATTTAGGAAAATGGATTGAAAACTTTTGTTATTTTGGAGACAATTAATTTAAGAGAAATTTTTAGGGAGAAATTTTTGAATTATGATTGAATAAACATTATTGTTTTGATAATTTCATGTTAGATGTTCAAAACGTGTTTATGATCAAGGAAATTATATCATTAACTTTATATTACTTTATTATAATCTCAAAAATATTGTAAATAATCTTTTTATCAAGTAAATAAAAGATATGAAATATTATAAATTATTTTTAAAATAATAAATAATAGTTATTATTATTATAATTATAATTATTATATTTTATAGTAAGTTATGTAAAATTTTAAAAAATTCACGATCATGATGATCGTAATGACTTAATGATTTTCATTTTATCTATAACCGTGATAAACATAACGTGATTGAAAATACGATTGCAATTGCAATTTAAATCTCTGGGTAGCAACATTACATGTGAGTCCAATCCATCAAAAATTTGTAAAAATAAAACTCATTAGGTTCAGGCAAAGTTACTGAGCTAAATAGAACTTATCAGTGAAGTATACTCTTAGTAATCAAAAGATAGGACAAATGGAAGAATTTGAATGGATCTATATGTCTATGATCTTGATATTTTGCTCCAAATTTTTTCTCAAATAAAGGAGCCGAGTTTGGCAACCAACCATTTCTCTGATATATTCTCCTAAATCATTAAGCTTATTTACCTCTATGTTTCTCAGGTTTGATGCCATGTTATAGGAAATTGCCTTCAATTTTACAGTACATAGGGAAACTAAAGAGAGAGAGAGAGATAGATAGGAAGACTTATTGAGGCAAGTTCTTCTATCATAATGGGCCTATTGCCATCCTTTTCAAACAAATCATATACATGCCTTGCATGTTGCTTTCAAGTTTCCATGCCTTCTAGTTGATGCACATTTATGGCAACAGCACAAAATTCTTCAAAGTCCAAATTTCTATACTGAATAGTATTAATCTGCATGATAAAAAAGTAAAAGAAGCTGATAGTATTATCATTTTAAACATGTTGGAAGCATATATTGCCAAAAGTTACAACTTGTCTTCAGGGAAAAAGATAAATAAATCAACTTGAAAGCTTTACCATGTTGACATAATCAAGGGCCCATGAATCCTCCATGGCATTAGTAGAATTCCTCATCATTGCCTACTAATTCCAAGCTATTTAGAATGACTTAAAATGGATGAAAATTAAAGAAAAAATATTATTGAAAAAAACAGACTATTTTATAATTTTGCATGGAAATGAATCCATTTTTGTTAGGCCTTAACAATGTGAATCGTTCTTGGAGATAAATGAGCTATGGAACAGTTAACATCTTTGCAAGAGCCTACCATAATAGGGAAACTCAGCCAAATACATTCATAATGCCGAGGTTACCTTTAGATCTTTATATCAAGAGCATCTAATGGTTCTGTCAATATGCAAAGAATTGAAAATTTGAATTTTCATAGAAGTTGTTGGAAAAGAAATACATGGATAAGTTTGAGGCCTTGGATTGGGTCCAACACCATCTAGCTACTATGGACGTAGCTCTTAGCAATTTACATTCTCAACAAGTCAGTCTTCACAAGACATCTCCATATTGAGAAATGGATTGTAAACTATGGATCAACGTTTCGACCAAATAAAAGTAGAAAGAGAACAAGAGCGTGCTAGAATTGAATAGGAGCGTGCTAAAATTGAAGAAGAACGTGTTAGAATAGACTAAGAACATGCAAGATTTCAGTAGTTGCATGATTGATTCGACACTCTTATGAATTTTGTGTAACAACAATTTCTAAGAACTAATTTAGGTGGTCCACCAACTCAAGTATTATATTTAGTAATTATTTATATTTTTTAACATAAAAAATAGCTTATTATTAAGTGTTAAAAATTATATTACTTTATTCAATAGATTCTTAAGCATGCTAGTGACTAAAGTGAAAAAATTCCCTCATCAAATGACAATATTTCAAATCTATGCAATCATCAATTTCATACATTTTAAAATTTTTGTTAATGTACTAAAATAATTTGAATGTTATTGCATGTATTAAACTTTGTGTTCCATCCATATTAGAACAAATTATGTATTTATAATATCCAGTTTATGAATTTAAGTTCGTTTTATTTCTGTAACATTTTTTTATTTAAAGATAATAATCAATATTAAAAGAAAATTTTTTTAAAAAAATTTCTTAATTTAAAGGTGTTTGTGCCTAAAAATGCTGCTATACACCATTAAAATAAGTAGTGTTTTCCGTTACAAACACCACTAAATTTAATGGTGTTTGTTTTTAAAAACACCACTAAGTTAGCGACTTTTTTTTAAAAACGCTATTATTTTCTCTGATATAGGTATAGCCAACACTCTTAGCGACGTTTTTGACAAACTTGCAAATCTTTTAATGATATTTATAAACGTCACTAAACGTGAAAAGAATGCCATTAAAGACATAATCCCCTGTAGTGTTGAATCTTGTATGAATTTTCTTAATTTTTCTTCAATATTGCATCATTCCAACTCCATTGAACTTCATAAAACTAATTTTGAACATTTTTCCCATTCTTTAACTTCAAGATTTTTTATAAAATCAAGATTCATCAAGAACAGAACAAAATTTCATATTATGCATAAAAAAATCATCAAGATTGATCAAGAATCATCAAGAATCATAAAAAATCTCCAAGATTTATTCTTTTTTCAAGAAAACCTACAAAACATAAAATTATGCCATTTAGAAATAAAAAGAACATTATTTTGCTAAGAACCAAGCAAAACTCAATCAATTAAGTACTAAAAACATGCCTAAATAACTATATTTTATAAAGTTATTAGCATATGAAGATGTGTGAAATAATCAAGATAAGATTCATAACTTTGTGTGATCAAGATATTGTCTTAGTTATTTTTAATTAAATTAATTCATGGACTCTTTGACCAAAGTTATGTAAGAGTTTATAATGGTTCTAAAGTTTTTTTATGAGTTAATGTCATGAAGAAGATTTATTATGACTAAACATGAAGAAGTAGACAACAATCCATAATCAATGTTAAATAGGGATGCTTAGTAATGAAAGGATATTAGTTGTACTATAAGACTATGCATAAATTAGTTGCCAAACCTTATTAACTTTCTTTAGCAATTGGGGTCATGGTAATATAGTTAGTATTGATCATGATCTATAAATACAAGGTTAGCTAATTAGAGAATTACTGATGAACATAAAAGGTTTAATTCATCTAATCCAAACCAAAGGATTACAACAATTGTTTATTATTCACATGTTAAGGAATCTAATGGGTTACACACAATAAGACAAATTGTGAAAGATTAAAATTGAAACAAATTAGACTTAATTTGGATTGGGTTAAGCCTGAGATAAAAGAATTAATAAGGAACTCGAAATCTCGTTATTATGCAAGTCGACATGCATGAGAAATTGCTGAGAATAGAATTGCTCTATGCTAAAGCTAATGTAACTTACTCCTTCTCTATGTAAGGATCATAAGCTGCCCCACTTGATGCTGTATGACTCTTTACTTTCACTCATGTGTTGAAAATAAATTGAGAGAAAAAAAAATTAAAAATACACACTAGCTAAAATATCGTGAATCATCATTAAAGATTGATCGCTTGAACAGCTTTAGATTTGCAACAAACAAAACAAAATGATCTCTTGCAGGGTTCTTGAAAAAAATTATCAGAAGAGGGAACAACTGCATAACTGAAACCTTTTTCTCTATTTTGCATGATTTTATTGATTAATTTTGACTTTCAAGAGTAAAAAATTTTTAAAATTCCATTATTGTTACCCTGATAAATGATGTTTAATTCCCTTAATACATATGACAATAGAGTTACAAAAATTGTCACAATAAATTTAATATTTGCAATAAATTACTCATGGTCGAAAGAAAATAATCATTAAAAGTCTTAAATGTTGTAATGAAAAAAGAAAAATAATCGATCACATTTAAAGATATTTTTGCCTCATGAAAGCACAGTTTGTCCAACGAATGTTTATCCAAATGGTACAAACTTTCACTCTAGCTAGAGATTGGTAACGGTTAAGAGCACATTTTAAAACTTGAACAGGTTTTTATGAACCTTCAATACTAGTCGACATGTCAGAGAAATTCTGTTGACATTTCTATTCACAATCTTGGCATGGTCAATTCTCACCACTTCAGCTTGGCCTGAGCTTGACCCGGACAAAGCCTCAATTTCGTTTACAACCTGAAAAGAAAACCGTGAGAACAAAATAGATGGGTAAGAATTTTGTTTATTGAAACATCTGAGACAAACTATTAGAGGTAAAATTCATTTTTACCTGTCAAATACAACTCTTACCTGATCAAATCGATGTACCACACTATCTTCAATACCATGCAAGTAATCTGTAAATCATAAGCATAGTGTTGTCATTTTTCATTTTCCTCTTTGTACTTTTTTAAAGTTAAGAGAAACAAAAATTCTTATACATAACACAACCACAAACAGCCTAGAACATGAACTTTCCTGAATATGCATCATCCTTGAAGATCAGTAAACTGCGAGGCACCAACAAGATGGAAAAAGGGCCATGATTATCCATTCCTTCATTTCCTTCAACTGCCTCAGCCCCTACATTAGAAGTTTTATCTTCAACATTTTCCCTCAATGTACTTTTGCATGATTTTAATCTTGAATGAGAAGTGAAGTCCATAACAACAGGTGATCCTAGAGACAAAATTGCTACAACTGGATAATAAGCTGGCCCATCCTGATGAGGCTGTAAGACAGATAATTACAGAACTAAAAATTGATACAGTCCATTATGCTACAAAAGGGAAATAATATCCTTTTTATAGAAAACATCAAGTATAGGAATCTTTTCTAATCCCATTATAAAATATGGTAGAAACAGCCACAGTAGTATGATTCATTTACTACCAATGAAACATTACATGTCCAAGAGTAATCATCAGATTTATTATCACCAGTTTTCAGGACATGAAATGTTTTGGAAAACCTTCAGTTAAAAGAATTACGTTAAGAGCAAAGTAACTTTATTAGTACAAAACAAACATAAATAAGCAATAAAACAAGTACAAACCATTATTCCTTGGTTCGGAAGGTATTCATTGATAAGAACATGATTGATTGAAGAAGGAAAAAGTCCTGATTCTTCACATATTCTTTCTGTAATCTTCGCTAGCCAAGGTGGCACTATAGACACAACAAACCATTCCCCCCCCCCCCCCCGGCGAAAAATAAAAATAAAAAAATAAAAAAAAATATTAGTAACTCATGTTCAATTTGACACAAGAAGCAAAGACAATCAGGACAGTAATAAAAACACAAAAGGGTTAATGTTACGAATAGTTCTTGAGCTATAGGAAAATGTTCAATGTAATACCTGAACTTTAAAAATCTTTAATGTGACACTTGAAATATGAATCTGTTAACTAATGTAATATTTGCTCCTAACGTGGTTAGCTCCAAATGATGACACAAGATGAATAAACAGCCGTTCAAGTACCACATTAGTTAATGAATTCATAATTTAGATACCATATTAGAGATTTCTAAAGTTTAAATATCATATTGAACATTTTACTATAATTCAAGAGCTATTTGTAACATTAACTCAAACACAAAATAATAAATTTTGGACCCTATCCAAAATGGGGAAAAACCCATTGAATGATTTCCACAAAGCAGAGTAAGCTGAAAGACAAATGGTGTAGGGCACAGAAATGATCTTACTTACAATCTTGTGAGATAAGACCCTTTTCATGGACAACACCACCTGTCAATATCAATAGAAAGAGGAACGAAATCCATCAGAAGGAAAAATAGAACGCCATCCATAATTTTCCCACAATATGCATCTAGCTTTCGTAGATTTTAAAAATGAGTTTTAGTATTTCAACGAACCCCAATTCTGTAGTCTCCTATTCTTCAACGATTTCCACTTTGATACAGGTGCTTGGTAAATCTACGTGTCAACAAATACTAAGCATTATAAAAATTGTAAAGGAAAAAAAATATAGAAACTATTAAAGAAATAAATACATTATTGAGGAGGTGGGCTTGCTCAGAATCGGTGATGAAGTCAGGGATGTAAATCAATGTTGGCAGATCCCCAACAATGAAGTTATTCAAATTTTCTTTTCTCTCCATTCCCCTGCAACAACCCAAGAATCATCCAAAACAAAATAGGCAAAGCAAAGCTTAGACCAAAGCAACCAGAAATCCCAAGACTGATGAGATCAACATTGTTTTTTGTTGTTTTTTTTTTATGAAGTTTTCAACCAAAACTGGTGCAAACTCCCAACGCCCTTTTCTATTACATTTCATATTAAGAGAACACCCAAATCATAAAAGCAAACAGCGAAGACGTAAAGATGATAAGTATCACCTGTTAATTTGTCGAAGGTTCAAGAAGATGAGACGAATCCTAGCGGCAGTCACACGATTTTGGACAGTCTAACCCTTATAAAGCCACCTCATCTCACGTTTTGGATTTGAAACCGCTAACTCCAAACCAAATAGCAAAACAAGTTATTTCACCTTTCAGATGCTTTACCCCTTTACCCTTTTTTTTTTTTTTTGAGTGTATGCGTAGGTCTTTGAATTTTAAGCGAAATTCAACTTAAAATTATTAATTTAAAAAATAAATATTTCATCTCAAAATTTTTTAATAAATAAGATATTAAAGTTTTCTGTTATTAACTCCGCTAAAAAATTATTTTATCTTTAAAAAATTAATATATTTAAATATTTATATAAAATAATTATTTATAATAATAATTTTTTCTTAAAATATATAAAATATATTGATAATATATAAAAAATCTTTAGGTGCAATATATAAAAATAAAATTCACAATTATAAATAAAAAATATTATAATAAGAACATATAACATATAATAAACAAAACTCACATAAAATAATTATTTATAATAATAATAATTTTTTCTTAAAATATATTAATATATAAACAAAGTTTTAGGTGCAATATGTAAAAACAAAATTCAAAATTATAATAAGAAAAAAATGTTATAATAAGAATATGTAACATATAAGAAGAAAAAAAATGGAACATATGATATGTAACATATAATAAGCAAATACTCACATAAAATAATTATTTATTGTAGTATTTTTTTCTTAAAATATATAAAATTTATTAATAATATATATAAAAAATTTTAAGGGTAATATATAAAAATAAAATTCAAAATTATAATAAAAAAATTGTTATAATAAGAACATGTAACATATAATAAGAAAAAAAATGGAACATGTAACATGTAACATATAATAAGCAAATACTTACCTAAAATAAGTATTTATAATAATATTTTTTTACATTATATAAAATATATTAATAATGTATAAAATAGATTTTTAGGTGCAATATATAAAAAAAAAATCAAAATTATAATAAGAAAATTGTTATAATAAGAACATGTATCATATAATAAGAAAAAAATATTTGGTTGAAAAAAATGTTATTTGTAATTGTGAATTTTGATTTTATATATTGCACCTAAAATTTTTATATATATTATTAATATATTTTATATATTTTAAGAAAAATTTTATTATTATAAATAATTATTTTATGCGAGTATTTGAAGATATTGATTTTTTAAAGGTAAAATGGTCTTTTAATAAACATTTTAACGGAGTTAATTGACAGAAAGATCTTAATGTCTTATTAATTGAAAGCCTTTGGAGCGAGAGGTCCATTTTTCAAACTAATAGATCTGAGTTGAATTATACTTAAAACTTGAAGACATAGATGCGTTTTACTTCTTTTTTTTATGAATAAAAAATATTACTACTCTATAAGATGAAGTTTACTTGTCTTTTCCACAATGTTGATCATTTAAGTTGCTATGTAGTAGTTTCATTCCTTTCCTTTTTTTTTACATTTTGTTTATTTTTTGCTTTGCAAAAATATAAATTTTGCTCATTACATCAATTACAATTCAAACACTATGTTTTTAAATATAATAATTTTTTATTAAATTACATCAATTACTACGTTTCTTACATTATGAACATCATTTATATGAAAATATCTATATTATCTTTTTATTATTTTAATTGATCTATTACATTTCAAATATAAAAAACATAGTGCTTTTTAAAATTTAAAAAAATGTATATTTGAATATAAATTTTGCTCATGTCCTTTCCATAGTGCTTGATTAAGCAATATTTTGTTACTTGTTCCTCTTGGTTTTTTTTATGCTTTTTTGTATTGAATGTTTTCATTCTCTTTATTGTTTTTATAGGTGGGATTCTTTTGTGCTGCATTTCTTCAATCTTTCACTATTGTTTGATTTATTATTTGATTGGTTTACTGGGTATGTACATTTTGTTTCCATTTTTTTTTTATTGCATCATTGATGCATTTGGGTTGGTTGGAGCATTTATGATTTGTTTTTGATTGTTCATTATACATTTACGTACCAAGAATCAATATTGAATGCTCTATTTTGCTTTTTGAATCTAGTGTTTTGTCATGTCAAATGATTTATGGTTTTTTTTTTACTTTTTTTGTTGACTTTGATTTTAAGATTTTTTTATCTATTTTTGCATCATCATCATTATTATTATTTGTTTTTGACCTTTTTAGTTTGATGGATGCTTTATTTGTTTTATTTATTGGTTTCCTTGCTATATTTGGTATTTAGGAAAATATTTTTAGCTGTTGAATCTTGGTGGTTTAAATCAAGTTTGTAATGATTGTGGTGCACAAATGAGGCTTGAAGAAAGTGTTTACACGATTAGTAGAAAAAATGCTCTTTGGTTTAACCTCTGTCACAAGGAAGGTAGTGTTAAATTGCAACATTTTAATCACACTCTTTTTTTGGATTCATTGTTGGATTACATTCAAGGTGGAGAAGATTCTAGATTTAGAGAGAATATTAAGAGGTACAATTTGATGTTCCAATTTACATTGATTGGTGTAAGATTGATATGGATATTAACAAAAAACTAGTCTATATGTATTTAAAATTGGTGAACAAATAAATTATCAGATTAGTTCTTTTCTGTCTCTAATTGGTTTAAGTCTAAAATTTACACAATTGTATATTTATGATACGACCAATGAGGTTTCAAATAAGATTTTTTCTTTGGATCTTGTTTCGACTTCAAATTTAGTTGATATTACTATTATTGATGGGTTGATGAATATGTTGAATGCTTGCAATAAAGTTGTCAAAGCTTTCAAGATGATGCGTGGTAGATTTCTTGAATATGATTTTCTACCTATTAGATTGCAATTGATTGAAAGAAGAAATAATTATGATAGACAATATGATAAGCCATCAAGTTTTGAAATTGCTTGGTTATTGGTGGGTGATGATAAAGCTGCCATTGATGAGCATGATATCATTGTTAATCATTTTACTGATAGTTTAAAGCATATTAGCGAACTACATTATTTGTTTATGGTAATGCAATATCCGTTTTTATTCCTTTTTGGTGAAGAATGTTTCTTATTGGGTTTTACATATCAAAACAACTATAAAGGTTTTTTCAGGCTAATGATAAGGAAAGAAAAAACATCATAATGATGGAATATTATATTTACTTTATTCAATAGTGTATGGAAATTGGGAGTACCATTTTAAAAAATGAAAGATTATTCCAACTGTTTATTGTTAATGCTTATTTATGTGTTGAACGAATGCACCTCCAATGGATATGAGATAATTAGATGCAATTGAGATCAAAAGTTTGGTTAGAGATGTTGTTATAAGAGGTGATGTTGATGGTGAAGCCATTAGTAAAAGAATTTTTGTCAACTTTTGTCTCTTGTTCGTGATTCATTTTTTAAAATTAACAAGATGCGATAGCTATATACAGATATTATGGTCATTTGATTTATTTATCACTTTTACATGTAATCCAAATGGCCTAAAGTTAAAAAGGCTCTATCTATGATCCTAGATAGCAGATTGAGGATAGGCCTAATATTTTTGTTAGGTTATTTAAGTTAAGATTGAAATGCTTGATGGATGATTGATAAGAAAAAAAAAACAAACATTTTGGTGAAGTTATTGAAAGTTAGCATTTTGAGTTATTGTTTTTTTATTCATTGTTTTTATGTTTTTAAACTAGTGCAATTGAATATAAATTAATTATTATTTTGTTATGTAGTTGTTTATATCATTGAATTTTAGAAAAAAGGATTGTCTCACACTCATGTTATATTATGGTTGCATCTAAGGAATAAATGTTTAACTTCTATTGATGTTGATAGATTAATCTCTACTAAAATTCTTGATAAACATTTAAATCAATTAGCATATGATTTTGTTACAATTTTCATGACTCATGGATCTTGTGGTGTTATTGATCTTAAAGCTTCATATATGAAGGATAAAAAGTGTTTAAAGTTTTATCCAAAAGTGTATCAAGAGTAGACTATTATTTAGGAAGGAGGTTTGGTTTCTTACAAAAGAAAATCATCTAAAAATGATGGTATAGTTTTTAAAAATTGTGAAGTCAATTTAGATTCGAGATGTGTTATTCCTTATAATGTTGATTTAATTGTTTGACACTAAGCTCACATCAACGTTGAAATTTACAGCAAAACAAAATCCATTAAGTTTCTATTTAAGTATATCAATAAAGGACCAAATTAAGCAATGGCTATCATAGAAAAAATACTTGTTGCTCATGGTTTTGATGCACAATAGAATTTGATACAAGTTGATGAAATACAAATATTTTTAGATTGTAGGTACATTTCAAGCCATGAAGTATGTTTGAGGCTATTTGGATTTGATGTGCACTATCAAGAACCAAATGTGATCATATTACCAATCCATTTACCATGACAGTGTTGTATCACTTTTGTTGAAAAATACGAATTTGGCTAATGTTATTTAGTAGCCTTTAGTGGATAAAACAATGTTTACTAAATGGATGGAAACAAACAAAAGGTATCTTGAAGCTTAAGATCTAACATACATTGATTTTTCAACAAAATGGGTTTGGTTACAAAATGAAAAGGTTTGGAAACATAAGGAGTGAGGGTGAGTTATAGGCCTAATTAATTTTATTCATCTAGTAGTTGGTGAACTCTATTTTTTTAGAATGCTTCTTAATAATGTCAAAGGTGCAAAAAGTTTTCAAGATTGGAGAATTGTTGATAAAGTTGTATATGCATCATTTTAGGCAACATGTATTGCTTATGGTTTATTGGGATATGATAAAGAATGGCATGATGCTTTACAGCAAGCATTAATTTGGTCTATAGGTTATGAACTCAGACAGCTATTTGTTACATTGGTTATGTTTTGTGAAGTTTTTGATGAAGTTACATTATGCGATAAAAATTGGAGACTCTTTAATAAAGATATTGAATATAGATTGAATCATTTAATGGGTTCAAATAGATTTTAGATTCTTGATCAACATTTAAGAAATTACGTATTGGTTTCTTTGGAAGAATTATTCAACAAAAATGGTTCTTTATTGGTTTAGTATAAATTGCCTTTGCTTATAGCTTTTACAAATTCATTGATGAATGATAGATTGTTAAAGGAAGAGATAATTATGATTTAGCTAAGTTAC